TTTTAATTAGAGCAGCTCTCCAAGAACCACTCTAAATAAAGCACCCTCCCACCCCTGAGCACAGGTATAGGCAGCCATAGGGTTTGCATTAGACTACAATACGTAGTGTTCTTAAGCTATAATAGGTTATAGGTCACATCTAACCACATTAATGTAGGTTTGGGTGTAGGAGTTACTCAACTTCCAGCCAAAAAGACAATAGTTAATACTGAAGCCAAGGCCACTAAAGCATAATAGCCTCATCCTCAAGGTTCAAGGAGTAGAAATGTCTACAGGAATCTTTAAAAGATTAATATGTTTGCAACTCTGGAATGGAGCATCAGTGGTTAAAGCAAGAAAATGCACATTTTATAAAACTCTAGAGAAAAGAAAACTGCCTTAACTGCAAATTCTATTCTTAAAAAAGATGCATAAAACACTCAAACTTTCCATTAATATGCTCTGTATTTTCAACATGCTCAGCCTGCCATAAGCGATAAAAGTGTCGTCTTGTCTTTCTGCTTATGCTTACATTCTTTTTTCTGGGAGAAGCTGATGCCCTACAGATTTTGGTTAGGAAAACTCATTTGCAGGCTGCCTTAATTTAATACTGTTAGTTTTGAGGTTCCCATAACATGTTTGTTTTTTAAGATTCTATGGATTAAGGCATATTGTTCTGCAGTTTCTTAAGACTCATCCACATTGTACCTCCACAGCCATGTTCACTCAGAATCATTTATCTAAAGAAAGTCAGCTCCCAAGCCTTGTTTAAAGCAAGAAGCTGAACTGAGATAATTGAAATCAGCCTAATTTTTTGAAGTGACAAAAGCAGTAATAATTAAAGCACCACAAAAAACACAAGCAAGCTGGCATTTCAGGAGGAGGCCATTAGGTATGGCAGGAAGTGACACTAACTTAAACAAAAAAGCTTTGAGGAAATTCAAGAAGACTTATGGAGTGTTTTCACCAACATAAACACATTTCAAAAGATGCTGCGTCATAAGAGTATCCAGATCACATTTGTCAGACAAAATTGTTTTTTTCCCATTTATTTATTTTTTACTTGGCCCATCTGCCACAATACCTAAAGGAGGTCATCCTTTTGTCTAAATTCTCCCTGGCCATGATAACTGGTAGCAAGTCTCTCCCCACAACTCATTTCAGTAGCTGTGTTTTCCCAGCTCAAGGCAAAACAGTTTAGTCCTGGTCTTGTTAAGGTAGCAGCTGGCTAGATGGGCTACCTGGCCAAGGATACCTACAGAAACCCACCTCTCCTCATACCTAACGCAATCTTTTCAAGCCTGTAGCCCACCTAATAAGTCTCTATTCAATCCCAGTATCTCTACATCAGTGATTCTCAACCAAGGTGCCACAGCACCGTGGGGTGCCTTGAGATCCTTTCAAGGGTGCCCCAGGTTGCTATGAAATGTCAGCACTGTTAAGTAAGCAAACACGATCAAAAGATAAACCCAGAGATTTCAGAAAAGGAAACCATAGTGTTAAAAACATTCTGCCTTGTTGTGGTTCTTTGCAATGGAAAAAGAAAAAAAAACAAAAACAAAAACCTGCTCTCTTATTTTTTCTACAATCAAAGAGGGGAAAAAAAAAGTACAATCCAAACACAGAGCTGGCATTTTTCCCAGGGGTATCCTGAATCTTAAGAGGTTGAGAACAACCAATTTTTAGGCATGGTTAGTTGTATACACCAAGTAATTTTGCCACTCTGCCTTCTCCCAAATGATCTCTTCCTTTCACCAGAAAGGTCTAAAGGATCAAAGTTCCCTATATATCCTGCTCCTTTTCTACCCGCACCCCCCCCCACCTGTTAGCATAGATATATATATTTGGGGGTGCACGTAGAAAAGGAGCAAAATATAGGAAACTCTGAGAGAGAGAGAGATTAAAAAACCTTATTCTATCCATCTATAATGCTTTATTCGTGTTCCAATTGGCTGACACACGGACAATAAGTGTGAACAAGCATTCGAACAGGCGCTGACAGCGTGGTAGAGCACCAGCATGATGGTGGGGATGGGCCTCAGCCCCCTCTGCCACACACACACACACACACACACTCTCCCTGGAGCCAGGGGCAACAGAGCGGACAGAACAGGGGGGCGAGGTCAGCAGCACTGGCCTTGCCCCCCTGCCCTGCTCCCTGCAGGTGGCAACAATGGAGCCGGAGGGGAGTCTAGATTGCAATATTCAATTGTCCTAGGATGGTGGGTGGGATCCTGATCCCCAATATACTATATAGTAGCCAACAACCTAGGACAATTGAATATTACAATCTAGACTCCTTCATGGATTATTCCTGGATGATATCCATGTACAAATAAAGGACAGTTTCAACAGTGGAGTCACCTTCCATGTTGCAGAGGGTTGTTTAAAAAGACCAGTCCTTCCAATAAAAACCTGCTCCAAAAGTCACACTGTGCAAGAGAAAGAACAAATGGTCCAGCGCATTCAACTCTGAATCTGTGTGTAATCCTGCAAAAAATCCTTGTGAATACATGCACTTGAAATGTATTTATAAAACTAGGTGAAAAGCATTTGGAAAATTCACAGTCCACCAATTCTTAAATCAGGTTATATTATGACTACACCCAAAAACAATCATCTATATCTACCTTTAAATGGAATAGATGAAAAGTAATATACACCACCACCACCTCCTCCTATAACATTTTTACATACGATAGAAAAACATAAGCATGTATCAAGTGTAAGCCACATCAAGCACGATGTAACTTTTCATCTCTATATAGTGTTATTATGACATATCCAGGATACACCCTCTCCCCCTCGTTCTTCCCACTCCCCGCTTGTACAAAGCTTGTCATGTGTGACCTCTCCCTACCCTTCAGTGTTTTCCCAGTGCTGTCGAGAAGACCTGCCTGTCACGTTTTCTCCTGTTCATCCCCATTGTCCAAAAGAAAAAAAAAAAGCTTAACATTTTATTCTGTATTTCTGTGAATTAGGTAGCTCTTAATATTTGACCATTAAAAATATTATATTAAATTCAGAAGCTATACAAGTCAATAGGAAGCATAAGTAACCAATTGCTGGAGGATGTGTTTGTTTGCACTTGAAAAATCTGCTAACAAGCAGCTTCATATCAGATTCTACATAATTTATACTTAGATATTTTCTCAGTTTCTAGTTTGGATTCATAGTATTAGCTTCTTAGGGAGGCTATATGTGCTTGTTATATATTGCAGCCATTAAAGCATCATGCTGTAGTCTTGTCAGACTTCTCTGACAATCTAAGTAGGTTAAACCAGACTTGATTAAAGAACTGGAAAAAATAAAACAAACAAGCCTTCAAATAAATTTAGGGGCTACTCAATAGATACTGACCATTTCAGCAAGCCACACTTTCCCCCCTAAGGATTATACCCCACAACCTTATTATATCCAAACATTCAAAAAGACTCTGCAAGAAATAGGCAAATGTGTACCAGGGTGGGAACTGCATTCAGTACTGTGTCAGCTAGTTGTAACAAAACCCTCCCTAAGACCACTCTGATGTACGTAAGTGCTAAGGATCTTAACCTCAGAATTCGAGCCAGAATCTAAAACATAGTAACAATACTTGGAGGAAAAAAAATATTAGTTGCAGACAATGTACTGTTCACTTTTTCCCAAACTGTTGACCAGCAATCCAATGCACCATTTCATTGGCATTAGGGCTGGAAGGGACTTCAGAAGATAATCAAGTCCAGCCCCCCACCCAGAAGGGCAGGAAGTCAGCTAGGGTCATAGGATCCCAGCAAGATAAGCATCCAATTTACTCTTGAAGGTGTTCAATGTAGGTGCTTGAACCACCTCCGACGGCAGGCTGTTCCAGACCTTGGGGGCTCGGACAGTAAAGAAATTCTTCCTCATGTCCAGCCTGAAACGGTCTCGCAGTAGCTTATAAATGTTCGACCTCGTCATCCCATGAGGCGCTCTGGTGAACAAACATTCCTCCAAGTACTGGTGGTCACCCCGATAAACTTACAGGTGGCCATCAGGTCACCCCTGAGCCTGCGCTTTTCCAGGCTGAAGAGCCCCATGGCTCAGCCTGTCATCATAAGGTCTGTTTTCCTGACCTCTGATCATGGACGTGGCTCTTCTCTGGACTCTCTCAAGCTTCTCCACATCCTTTTTGATTGTGGAGCGCAGAACTGGAGGCAGTACTCCAGCTGCAGCCTCACCAAGGCAGAGTACAAGGGGGGAAATGACATCCTTGGATTTGCTTGAGAAGCATCTATGGATGCAAGCCAGCGTTTTGGTCACTTTACTAGCCGCAGCATCGCATTGCAGGCTCATGTTCATCTTGTTGTCATTGATGACCCCCAAGTCTCTTTCTTCTGTAGTCCTAGCCAGCGTAGCACTGCCGAACCTATAAGGATGCTGCAGGCTTTTCCTCCCAAGGTGGAGAACCCTGCATTTTTCAGTGTTAAACACCATAAGATTCTCATCCGTCCATTTGCTGAGCCTGTCCAGGTCAGCCTGGATCACCCACCTGTCTTCTGGTGTGGATGCTCTGCCCCACAGTTTGGTGTCATCGGCGAACTTGGCCAGTCTGCTTCCGACTCCAATGTTAACATCATTAATGAAGATGTTGAACAATATGCGTCCAAGGACCAGAACACAGAAGTGTACACACTAACATTTATGGGTTTTCAGAAATATTTGGGTGTGGATGAAGAGGAATTTTTATATGAACTCTTCAGCCAACTGTTGTTGACCAGAATCCTCATCAACAGCCAATTATAAATGTTAATGTTTCTTCTATTATTTTAATAATTACAAATTTACTCAAAAAAGCAAGCACTTTGTTCTATACTTGCACATTTGTGATATACATTTGATAATATAAGTAATGGTGTTACCTGACTGCATTTGCATAAACTCCTGTGACAACTATCAATCACATGAGTAACTTCTGTTTTGGAATACATGAACATTTTCCTTCAACTAAAGTGTATAAACACAAAACAAAAGCTATTCACTTAGTTTGAATATTGGCTTACCGTGTAAATGCCAATTCTACAAACAGCAAATGAGAGCTGGATACATTCAGACATTCTCTAAAGAAATTAAAATAAGATATTACTAAGAAGTCTATTAACTAGAGAAGCAAGTGGTTTATTTTCTAGAAACACAAAATTAAATTGTTTCAGGTTTCTCTCTCCCTCCCACATAGGCAGCTGTTTGTACTTAAAAAGAACATATGCTATAAAAGGTGCAAACTACAATAAACTCCCAATATGGAAATTGGACAGTTGTGTGTTGTTGCTCCCAAAAATTTTTTACCCTCGACTATCCCATATTTTTAGTCTGGCACGCTCTAGATTTATTTGCTTTTTTAAAAGGGATCTCTTTTCTCTTAGTGTTTTTATAATATTCAAGTTAAAGCGGTGTCAACATTTTTAAAATAAGCATATTAAAATCCCTTCCCAAACTGCTCAACTTTCAAACTTTTGGGAAGCCATTAATCCACTACCACTTCCATCCTCCAAAGGAAAGTATACATGATCTCTCATTTTGCCTTTATGCAGACATGAGAGAGAACCAATTTCATCCATTGTTAGGTCTGTTAAGTCGGGCTATTTCCTATTTGTAGTCAAAAACTCTAAATTGGGCTTCCACTGATTTATGCAGTTTGTTAACTCCAAGGTCTTTTTTAAAATGAAAGTTTTTTGTGAGGTCTTTCTGCACTGAGCTATAAGTGTTGCAACTGGTTGCTTTAGAATTCTGAACATATGAACTCAGCGAGCTTGCATCGACCACTTATTTAGGAGATTATAGGGCTCACTGTGATCTAAGACGCTGAATGAATGATTCTCTAAGAAGTTCCGAATACCACAAACCTCAAAACAGAATCAGTGGAGCTATTATGGTTTTGTCAGCTTTGCCAATGACATTATAGAATCCCAAAACTGTTTTTTTTCTCTGTAACAATTTTTAAAGAGTTGAAAGGGACCACTGAATTGCACAAGATAATTAGCTTTCATACACATTTCTGTTTTTATGTTTTATCTCTGGGTGTTTTTCTTTTTTTGTAATAAAGTCAGTACCACTACTCTCCCTCCCCCACTTCTACCCACAACCCAAAAAATATGTGATTAGCCCATTTAGTTAGAATTATTTTTTTTAGTAAAATTTAATTTTGACCAAAATATTAAAAGAATGATTCCTACATAACCGACAGCCAATGAAAAAGGTTGCTACAGAGTTTTCTATTTTGATTATTGTTTAAATATTTTGAACAAACAAAAAATATTTTGCTTCAGTGTCTGAAGGCAAAATGGTGTTGTGCTAAGAATCTGAAACTACCTAAACACACTTTTATTGACCAACCTGAAAGAAATGCAGGGACATAACCAGCAAAACAAGGGAAAGTTAATTTGTAATTCATGCACTGCAATGATTTGGAAACTTTCAGCCTGTAAGAACAACAGGACAAGTAAAAGCCAAAAGGTACTTTTCCCAACCTATCTAAAAATTTGCTTAGTGGCATGCAAAAGTATAGAAATGCTTTTCCCATAGTTCAAATTTTTAAAAAGTTGACAAAAATATTACCAGCAGGGTGTTTCAAGCTAAATCTAGCATATCTTCCAGTGATCTTTTACCATGTAATACTGGTCAATGTTTGCCCCATCGGAATATGACATGAAGGTTTGGGGGAAAGGACGGAAACTACCTTAAAGACAATGCCCACAAAATGCAACCTGCAGCGTGCCAAAATTAAATACTTTAACAGCCTCAACACTAAACATCTAGGCTATGGACAGAAGTTACACAAACTGGTTTAAGTGACTGGAAATTGGTTTAAACCTGTAACAGAACACAAGTTCAGTGCACATAAACCGCTTTCAAAATGGCCCAAACTGGTTTAAGATAAACCTGGTTGGATGTAGTGTCCGACTTAATTCATTTAGGCCAAACCAGTTTATAGCACTTCTGTCCCAGATCCATTCCCGATTTGAGTTAAGTCTTAGTCCCCCAGCATCCCAGGATGCTTTGCAGTCCTGGGCTATGCTGCCTGCTCCAGTGAAGCAGGGACTGCCTCATCCCCTTGCTGCTCAGCCTGCTTCTGTCAGCCTATAGGAACCAGGGGGGGCAGGGGAACAGACCCCCAGACGGCCCCTAGCCAAGGTCTACACAGCATGTGGGGGGGGGAGGGAAAGGCCCTGTGGTGGGGGCTTTTCGACCCTTGGGTGCTGGGGAGGGGAAGTGCTGCCAATTGCTTCAGTGACTGCCACAGGAAGGAGAAGTCTTCTGGGCTGGGTGCCTGCTCATGCAGCCCAGCATGGGGGCCCTAAGGAGCCCCCACCTTGGGAGGCTTCTCCCCACTTTAGCCCAGGGCAACCCCAGGGAGCTCTTCCCCTCCCAAACCCCAGACCTGCTTGCCTCAGCCCCAGAAAGTCTCAGGCAGCCACAGGGAGCGGAG